TCACGTTTTTTGGGCAATCCTACATGTATCTACACGTTATTTACACAGAAGCGTTCTAAATTTTTTGCGAACTCAGTGCACAGTGCAGAAAAAGACTCCCTCATAAAAACGGATTAGTTGCTACATCGCCGCTACGGACTTGCACGTACTCGATCATCCAACCAGTTGTGACACTGTTGCCGGATTAATAACATTAAAAGCTTATCCGACCACGGCCTGCGTGACGCGTCAGCCGCAAGAGGTGGCACCGGCCGCGGCTACCAGCAGGCTGATAGACGGCCGGGTCATGGGGTCATGCCATCGGGTCACGATGCTCACTCCATCCAGCGTGTCAGCGTGGCCGAGACGGCAGGCAGGCGTGTGATGCGGGGCCCACCCGGGGCACGCGGACGAGTTTCCGCGTGCGACACACTGTGAGGCGATCATTGTCCACACTTGTATTCTCTTAACACGCGCTCGGGTGGGGGTCAAATTGACCCCCGAAGGTTTGTCCAGAATGGTTTCCGAACGGCGAGGCGCAGCCTCACCAAATTTTGCATAGCTGTAGACATTTAAATAGTGGATCGTTTGGCATCAAAAATTTGGATGTACCTTGTCAGGTTGCTGACCTGCGGTAGGTCAAAGTCAGGCCATGGTTTAAGCGAAGTCAATTTCAAGGGAATCGTTCAATCTGATGCAACAACGGAGTGTTAGGCAAAGTCACACATCTCTGAGATGCTTTCTTAGGCAACAGAAATATTCAGTGAGCAAATACGTTGACCTAAGGTCAAGTATTAAGGTCAGACCAAGGTCAAAAACAGCCTGACATAGTTTGTTTAATATATATATATATATATATATATATATATATATATATATATATATATACATCATCACTCTAGGGCTTGCTGCGAGGTATAGTTTCTGGCACTCATTTCGAATTTATCGAGCAGGAACCGCGTTACATATCTTCCATGAACTTCTTAGAGATCACAATAGGTCACTGACATAAAATGAGCCAGGTCAACATTTTGTTTTTAGAAACATACTGCCTTGCTCTTTGTCGCTTATTCAAACGCAAAAGTCAGAGCAGTCTGTATGATTTTGGTCACCGTGACCTTCAACAGGTCAAGCAAGGTAATTGACTTTAAATGAGCATGCAACATTTTGCTTAGGAACAGTTATCTAGGTTCTGGGGGCACTTTGCAGACCAACCTGGAATTTGACCTTGTTTGACCTTATTTGACCCGAAGATCATAATCTAGGAAACTCAAACTTTTACCTAACTTAGTTCCCGTACAGGTCAACACACCCTGTAAACTTAGTGTCTCTAGCTCTTTTAGTTCCTGACGTCTTAGGAGGGTCAAAATAGCCCCCACCCGAGAGAAGGGCATCCAGCCGGCCACCCGGGCGTGCGTTAGCCGATAAGGCGATTGCACTAAGTCAAACGACCATCAGGTACCACAGCACTCGCATCGGTTGAGCAGTTCAGAGTATTCCGCACCAGACAAATCAGCCGTAGTGAGGTGGCACCGGCCGCGAAGACCTCAATGCCACTGATCGCGCCACACGTCAGTAAAAGGAAAAATAGCAAACTGAAAAATTTGAGGCATTAAAAAGGTCAGTGTGGTCACTGACATAGTTTGTTTAAGACCAACGGAGAAAAATTAACAAACATCAACATTATTGCTGACATCAACGTTAACAGTAAGATGTAAATACAGACAATACTGCCGATGTCGAATTTCTCAACCACTCAAACCTGAAGGCTGCAAATGTAGAGTATCCTGGGTATTGAAGCGTAAATCGGGACACATTGTCCGACAGCCATGATGGCCCACTTGGTATATGACACAGGTATATAGGTTACATATTGGTAGGGAACCAGGAACATAAATAAAAAATTGAATTATCAATTATACGGTAAGCAAATGGCATATCCGTGTAATTGTTATGGTAATTAGGCATATTTCACAGCGGACCGCCACTGAAGGAAGGCTGACCTGGCATGACCTAACTGAGGCATAGTGTTCATAAATGAATTTTTTGCGCAGTTAAATATGCACTGAGCTGTCCCTGAAGTTTGATCCGATGGTATTTTACAACAACGTCATGATATAAAGACACAGACTTAAGGACAGCATTATATCATGAGCCACGACGCCCTTGAACGTGGAGCAAATTGCGCCCGATGTCTAGGATTCTTTGGCTGATATTGCAGGACAACAAGAGCGTGGGCAAAAGCGGTGGCTCGAAGGGACAAACAGTCGCTCGAACAGCACTTGAAACAGCGTTACAGTTCTGGTCCCTCCAACTGCGAGCTCAAATGGAGGCTATTAGTCCACGGCTTCTGGCGCCCACCAATAGCGCTAGGCCTGTAATAGGCCTATTAGCGAGTATTTGACCACCAGCTGAGCGAACTATTCATGCAGCTAAACAAAACCCTGCAGGTGGCATAAGTGGATCAAGTTTTGAGCTTGTTGCCGAATTTTGCGTACCGAATGTCAGCCGTGAAATCACTGGAGGCGTGCCAAGATTGAGTGTAAAGTTAATGACTTATTACGACGCTAATGGTTTTCAAACCGCCAAAACAGTGAGGATGAAGTTTCAGCAGCTGTGTTTAACAACCAATATCTTATTTTTGTTTTGTTCGCTTCTGTCATTCCTTCATTCCCTGCATGTCTCGAGCAGATCTGCTATCTGTCTGCTAGCCTGAGGCGAAATTTCTATTCGAGCATATGCTGTCACTTGCTCATTAGACGAAAGCAAGATAACTGCAGCTATCAAACGATATGGCCTCTCATCCTGTATACGCACTGCCTAATCTCTGGTCCTAATCGGTTCGTTCTCATGAGTACAAATTATCCTGACTGGTGCAGCATATCTAGAGGTTTGAGCATTTTGTTCATGTTGATGCATTCATCATACTTTAACACGTGCCCGGGTGGCCGGCTAGATACCCTTCGCTCGGGTGGGGGTCAGTTTAACACCCTCCCATTGAGATCTCTGGAACTAAGAAAGCTAGAGCACCAAATTTACAGGGTGTGTCGACCTGCACGTGAACGCACTTAGGTCAGAGTTTTAGGTTCTTAGGTCATGACCTTTGGGTCAAAAAGGTCAAACACGGTCAAGTTCCAGGTTGGTCTCCAAAGTGCCCCCAGAACCTAGATCACCGTTCCTAAGCAAAAGGCTACATTCTCATTCAAGATAAGTGGCCTTGTTTGACCTTTTGAAGGTCAAGGTGACCAAAATCGTACAAGATTGCTTTGACTTTTGCATTTGACTAAGCGACAGAGATTACGCCAGGCAGTATGTTCCTAAAACAAAATGTTGGCCTAGGTCATTTTAGGTCAAAGACCTATTCTGACCTCTAAAAAGTCCATGGAAGACGTATAATGCGTTTTCTGTCTTCAATAAACTCGAAATGAGTACCAGAAACTATCCCATACAGCAAGCCCTAGAGCAACAAAACAGGTTGGCTTTGACCTTGGTGTGATCTTCATACCAAACCTTAGGTCAATTTAGTTTTCTCATTCAACTGTTGTGTTTCCTAAGAAAGCATCTCAGAGATGTATGGTTTCGTCTAACTCTCCATTGTTGGATCAGGCTGAGGGATTCCCTAGAAATTGCCTTCGCTGAAACCATGGTCTGACTTTGACCTGCCATAGGTCAGCGACCTTACAAGGTACACCTAAATTTTGCATATCGAACGATCCGCTGTTCAACTGTCTATGACTATGCAAAATTTGGCGCGGCTGCGCCGCGCTGTTCGGAAACCATTCTGGAAAAACCTTTGGGGGTCAATTTGACCCCGCTCCCACCCGAGCGCGTGTTCTTCGTGATTAAGTTTGAACCGAGTGACATCACATGAGTGAGACCATTGTTCAACAAAAGATAGTCTTTTGTTGGCATTGAGTAAGTCTGTGTATACCTCTTACGGAGCTAATAGAAGAAATATAGCAAAATTAGTTCCATAACATTGATAACGCTTGGCGTGGTGTTTCGTGCACGATGTCGCATTATGTGTATGCACTTATACTTGCCAACACCATGAATGCCGCATTCCAATGTTCCGATTCACCGATTTTTGTGGCCCTTTTCCATGTGGCTGCTAATGCGTATTTGCTTTTATTGAGATGGCATTCTGTTTCCTTTTTTCCATGAAAATAAGCATATAAAAAGCACCCCCACTTCTCACGTAAACTTGCCTTTGCAGCGCTGTAGCATTCCCGGGCGCACCGCATGCTGCGGCGTCCTAGGGCACACCGCGTGCTGTGGCACCCTAGGGCACACCGCATGCTGTGGCATCCTAGGGCACACTGCATGCTGTGGCATCCTAGGACACGCCGCATACTGCGGCGTCCTAGGGCACACCGCGTGCTATGGCATCCTAGGGCACACTGCATGCTGTGGCATCCTAGGGCACACTGCATGCTGTGGCATCCTAGGACACACCGCATACTGCGGCGTCCTAGGGCACACCGCGTGCTGTGGCATCCTAGGGCACACCGCATGCTGTGGCATCCTAGGGCACACTGCATGCTGTGGCATCCTAGGACATACCGCATGCTATGGCATCCTAGGACACAACGCATGCCTTGACATCCTAGGACACACCGCATGCTGTGACATCATAGGGCACACCGCACGCTGAGAATTTCTTGCCTCTCACTCCGAGGCCTATTTTGGAAAATTTAGTCCACTGTACACCAGGTTAAGGAACGGGGGCGTGGCTTCTGGCATATTTTGGGGAGGGTCCCATTGCAATCCCTTCCTATTTCCTCTTATCTTCAAGTTGGATTGGCATCAGAATATTTTGTAGCATTGGTATTTCGAACTTCGCGAATTGCTTCAGTGATATATCAGTGTATCGATGATCCAAGCCCAATGGAGTGCACTCGGGTAGGCTTCACTCAGTCAGGCTCGGTCGTACCCAGAATGCGTTAGAGATGAGGTGCGTTTTAGAGCCCCACACAGGAAAAGAGACGTAACTTCCTCACATGTTATCTAAGTATACGTACATTTGGTGAGGATGTGTCCAAACTCCTTCTCAACGTCGTCGTCCTCCTCGGGCGGCGATGAGAGGTCATCGAAGTTCAGCAGGAACATGAGCAGCTCTCCGCCCTCGTTCGAGACGGGCGCGATCGTTTGGATGCAGAGAAATCGCGACCCTGCAACCGTACGCCATATTAGTTGTCATGGCCCACCTGAGACCACAAACCACATTAGCCAGCACGGTCCACCCGAGACCACAAACTACATTTCCCGACGCGGTCTACCTGAGACCACACACCACATTAGCCGACACGGTCCACATGAGGCGACACACCACATTAGCCGACACGGTCCACCTGAGACCACACACCACATTAGTCGACACGGTCCACATGAGGCCACAACCACATTAGCCGACACGGTCCACCTGAGACCACACACCACATTAGTCGACACGGTCCACATGAGGCGACACCACATTAGCCGACACGGTCCACATGAGGCGACACACACATTAGCCGACACGGTCCACATGAGGCGACACACCACATTAGCCGACACGGTCCACCTGAGACCACACACCACATAGCCGACACGGTCCACATGAGGCGACACACCAATTAGCCGACACGGTCCACATGAGGCGACACACCACATTAGCCGACACGGTCCACCTGAGACCACACACCACATTAGTCGACACGGTCCACATGAGGCCACACACCACATTAGCCGACACGGTCCACATGAGGCGACACACCACATTAGCCGACACGGTCCACCTGAGACCACACACCACATTAGTCGACACGGTCCACCTGAGACCACACACCACATTAGTCGACACGGTCCACCTGAGACCACACACCACATTAGCCGACACGGTCCACATGAGGCCACACACCACATTAGCCGACACGGTCCACCTGAGACCACACACCACATTAGTCGACACGGTCCACCTGAGACCACACACCACATTAGTCGACACGGTCCACATGAGGCCACACACCACATTAGCCGACACGGTCCACCTGAGACCACACACCACATTAGTCGACACGGTCCACATGAGGCCACATCCACATTAGCTGACACGGTCCACATGAGGCCACACACCCATTAGTCGACACGGTCCACATGAGGCCACTACCACATTAGCCGACACGGTCCACCTGAGACCACACAACACATTAGTCGACACGGTCCACATGAGGCGACACACCACATTAGCCGACACGGTCCACCTGAGACCACACCACATTAGTCGACACGGTCCACATGAGGCCACATACCACATTAGCCGACACGGTCCACATGAGGCCACACACCACATTAGTCGACACGGTCCACATGAGGCCACATACCACATTAGACGACACAGTCCACATGAGGCCACACACCACATCAGTCGACACGGTCCACCTGAGACCACACGCCACATCAGTCGACACGGTCCACCTGGGACCACACGCCACATTAGCTGACACGGTCCATCTGAGGCCGCACACCACATTAGTCGACGCCGTCCACCTGAGGCCACACACCACATTAGTCGACGCCGTCCACCTGAGGCCACACACCACATTAGTCGACGCCGTCCACCTGAGACCACACGCCACATGAGCTGACACGGTCCATCTGAGACCACACACCACATTAGTAGACGCGGTCCATCTGAGGCCGCACACCACATTAGCTGACACCGTCCACCTGAGGCCACACACCACATTAGTCGACGCGGTCCACCTGAGACCACATGCCACAGTAGCTGACACGGTGCACCTGAGACCACACGTTACATTAGCCGAGACGGTACACCTGAGACCACACTCCGGCAGAGCCATCAGTCGCGCAATGAGAACCCGAAACCTCACCACAGTATGAGGCTGTTGGCAGTCAAGGTGAGTCCGAAAACGTGCGCAATGTGCTCGCAGGTATCAAGCAGCCGGCAGGGCCTAAACAGCTCGTCAGCGGTCACACCGGGCTTCAGACCGCGCGGCAGCATAACTAGCGCTAAATCGTGGTGTCTTGGAAGCTAAGCATACTGAGCTCATACCGCAGACAGGCCATCGGGTGGCCTTGGCACGTTGGGCACCACATGGCAGCGCTCGGCGGCAGGACCAAAGCGATTCACAGTTGCGCTCAGCGGACGCCGGTGGGGCCGGAAAAGCAGACTTCAGTCCTGGTAACAATGCTCAGTTCCGAAAACCCGCGATAGTAAAAACCCAATGCCGGCATCCCGGGATACCGCGGGATTCCAACAGATTTATGCATATTATGAATTCTAATTGTTCCATTACTGTACCAATTTTGAGTACACGATTAACCGGTGCCCGGCCCGGGGGTCTGAGACAACCGGCGCCCGGCCCGGGGGTCTGAGACAACCGGCGCCCGGCCCGGGGGTCTGAGCCAACCGGCGCCCGGCCCGGGGGTCTGAGGCAACTGGCGCCTAGCTCGCGGGTCTGAGGCAGCCGGCGCCCGGCCCGGTGGTCTGAGGCAGCCGGCGCCCGGCCGGTGGTTGAGGCAGCCGGCGGCCCTGCATCGGGGTCTGAGCCCACCGGCGCCCTGCCCTGGGTCCTGTAGGCAACCGCGCCCGACCCAGGGGTCTGAGGCAACCGGCGCCGAGCTCGCGGTCTGGAGGCAACCCTGGCGCCCGACCCAGGGGTCTGAGGGCAATTGGGCGTCCTAGCTCGCGGGTCTGAGGCAGCCGGTTCAGGCAAGTTAACTTCCCATGGGATCTCTAACTTTCAGAAGCCGTGTAAGAAAAACAAAGGCACAGTTTTGAAGGTCTCGTCGATCCATGAAGAAAGCACACTACGTCTTTTTGTATTAGGTCAAATGTAAGGTCACTAATGGTAATGAAATCTTAAAAACGGTCGTCCCGATAGATGTAGTTAAAACGCATATGAAGACATCAAGACGGATATTTAGGGCACGGAAATAAGCGTTAAGACTTGAGGAGTTCATTCCGATCATTTGTGGTCGTCCACAAGGGTCAGGTCAGATCAGGCCACCGTTCAACATTGATCTACGAGTAACCTACAAGGACGGTACTTTTCACAATGCGCGTCTGACTAAATTTATTACTCTAGGTGCAGCTGTGAGATAAAAACATTCGAGACACCAAAGTGCCCTTTCAGGCTGACCTAGAAGTCATTTCAGGTCAGCTTCGGTAGCCCAATTTATAAACCATCCAAATTAGAAAAGAAGTGCTAACCGGGATTATGTGACCAGTACAATGTTTATCCGCGGTCATAAATATTGAATTGTACACACGCAGGTGCTAAAGATCGCATGGATGTTGTATACATTATGCGTACTCCGTTTGACGCTTGCCAATGCATTCGTAACAAGCTGAGAACAGACAAGTTGCTACATGAAATTACACGTCATCAATTCACAAACACGACGAGAAGACGGTTACATGCGTCGCACCCGTTCATCTAGTGTAGGCATATACTTTCTACTTTCCGCTTTGCGCGCCATCCGTCCGGGATGTCCGGTGAGGTCCGGTGTCCGGTGAGGCTTCCCCAGCGGAGCGTGGTACGGCAAGCAAGCTGGCCACGGGAAGGAATTCTCCCTCCCCTCCCCTCCCCCCCCCCCCCCCCCGGCCACCTAACCAAACGTGACCATAAGGCCGAGCGAGGCCTGAGAGCTGAATGCGGACCCGTCCGACGCTCCAGCCGATCGGCCCATATTGTTGACCGGATCTTTACGGAAAACGGTGTGTGTCGCCCGGCCAGGTGGGGTAAGCCGACGTTTTTTCTCCGAAACGGCTATGACGGTGGCCTCTTCTACTAAAATGGGCCATCACGCCACAGGGGAACGCCTGCCCTCCGCCGGCCGATCAAGATTGATGGATGCGAAAGCCAGATCACCGGCGATGCAACATGCACATAGGAATGTTCAACTGACATGTTGTGGGAATGTTTGCCGTTTCGCTCCAAGAGCCCCGCCGCGCCGGCGCCGCCGTCACTCCAGCTGGCGTCAGAAGCGCTACGCCACGTGAGAACTGGGTCAGAGGGGACGCGCAGGGCCCGCCCGAGGCGAGAGCGGGCGGGCCTTGCGTCGTCGCTAGCGACGCAGCGTCCTAGATCCGGCCCAGGAGCACGTTCGGGACCGAACTCTGGAAGCAGCGCAGACCGACCTGGCAACACATTGGACGGAGGGGGCGAGGCGGCGAATCTGTTGGCCCATGCGCAAAAACGAAGGCGGGCCAACCGAGTTGGAATAATCACGGAAAATTACGGATGGTGCAAGAGGACAAGAGAGGAGCCTTTCGGGGGAGTCTCTCTGACCAAGTCAATGTGGAGAGTCCTGAACGAGGCGCTGGAGGAGAGAGGTCTTTCGGGAAAGTCCGCAGGAGGCGCTGGAGAAGAGGGGAATCTTTCGGGAGAGTCCAGGGAAGGCGTTTGAGAATGGGGTCTCCCGGGGAGTTCCGAGGAGCGAGGAACGCGGAGGAGGGTGGTGACAACCAGGCGGCGACATCTAGCGCTGCGGACAACGAGAAACCGTCGACAAAATACACGTATGAGTCAATAGGCTCCCCCCCCCCTTCCCTCATCAAGCCACGGACGGCTGGTGCTCCCGTGTCACCGGGCGGACGCGAGCCACGGCCACCTGTTCCCTCCTGTGTGGTTAGGGAAGGGGGGAGGGGTGGCACTGTCCATACGACCCTCCCGGACGAGCAATGTGCCTCTGGCCCACTCCCATAATTAAGGAAGGAAGGAGCGTGACGGGTCATGTGGTTCGTCTATGTCTTAGTGATTTAGTAAATGAGGTAGCGGTCTGAGTTTTACATCGTTTAGTGTGGAAGCGAGGCTGGAGTGTTTCGGTCAGGCGGCGACAGGACACTCGCGCCCGGCGCGGGCAGGCATGGTGACAGAGGCCGTCAACACGCGCTTCGGCGCGACGGGCCACCCGTTAGCCCGCGTCGAGGCTATCCTGATTTTGTCGTTGGAAGCGGTCCGGGGAGGCGCAGTGGCTCGCCATGGCCCTCATCTTTTCCGTGTCGCAGTCAGGCGCGGCGTACGGGGCAGGCCACCGTACCATACCTAAAAAGGCTTTCCTTTCGCTGTGACGTTAGTCTGTTGGCTAGCTGGACGGTTTGGCTTTTCTCGTTCTCTTCATTTGTTTTCCGATTGCTCGGGGCGTCGGAACCTTTGCCGAACCC